ACTTAGTTAATGTTTTCTTTAAGATCCGAATTATCCTCTCTACCTGTCCAGAACTCTGTGGTCTATAAACACAATGCAATTTCCAGGTAACTTTCAGGGCCTTAACTATGGATTGTGTAACTTTGGCGATAAACGCTGGACCATTGTCGGACCCCATGTATAGTGGCAGGCCAAACCGGGGAACAATTTCAGTGAGGAGTTTTTTAACTACTGCCTGTGCTGTCTCTGTCTTGGTTGGGTATGCCTCAGGCCAGCCAGAGAAGGTATCAATGAAAACCAGCAGGTACTTATATCCTCCTCGTCCTCCTGGTATCTCAGTGAAGTCCACTTCCCAGTGTTGTCCGGGGTTCTGACCTCAGAATCGCTGTCCCGGTGCGGCCACAACAGGGGGCCCTTGATTCACCAAGGCACACAATTGACACCTTCTAGCCAAGTCTTGGGATATTTTCTGGAGCCCTGGGATGTAAAATTCTCTTCCTAGTAGTTCTGATAGCTTCGTTCCCCCCAGGTGGGTGGTCTGGGAAACAATGGTCCACCCCAGGGCTTCTCTCACTATAGGCCTCCTGTCTGGCAGAATTAGCCATGCAGCCTCTCCTTCCCGGGCCCTTAGTTTCTCAGCTAGCCTCTGCTCCCCCATCACATAAGTAGGCTTCTCTGGGAGCCTTGGTGCTGGCAGGGCTACGAGAACTTCTAGGGGCCCTACTGGTCTTTTAGCCACTTCCTTGGCCTCCTGTAAGGGCAGTGTGAGGAGATATATCCTTGCAGTCCCTGGTAGGTCTGACAGAGCCAGTGCCAGGGTGCTCACCAGGGCTTCTTAGATCTCCCCTGGCTCCTCCTCATGTCACTACTACTGCCCCCGCATACCGGGTACCTTCCTCTACGAAGCTGCTCCCGTCTGTGTAGAGGGTCTCATCTGGATTCTGCAGGGGCTGGTCCACAAGGTTCTCGCGGAGGGAAGTGAGGGTAGTCAGAGTCTCCTTGCAGTCACGAAAAGGGGCCTCTGCCTTCTCGTCAGGGAGGAGTATGGCTGGGTTCAAGGCAGCTGTTTTCAGGAAGCTAAAATGTTTACTCTTTTTCCCTTTCCCCACCAGAGGGCCTGAGTGAGTGCTATGAGTTCCACAAGGAAGTCCACCTTTTGGCCCCCCATTGTCAGGGTCATTCTGGGCTCCTGGGGGCCAGCTGAGCCCCGACAACTCCAATCCACCTCCTCCACCAGCATGGGAGGGAGTCGGTTCCCCTGCACGTTCAGGGCACTCCCTTTTCCAATGTCCTTCCTTTCTGCAAAATGCACATTGATTTTTCTCAAGCCTGGGTTGGACTCCTTTTCTTCCGCGAGGCTTTTCTTTGTCCTTATTGTCTCTCCGGCCTCTTGGGCCTCCCTCCTTGCTCAGGGCCAGGAGGACCTTGGCCATTCGGGTGTTTAAACCTGTCATCAGGTCCTCCCAATTGTTAAAAACCTTCTGGGCCACCTCAATCAACTTAGAGATTGATTTCTTTTTAAAGCTTTCTAACTTCTGTCATTTTTTCCTAATATTTGGGGCCGACTGGGAAACAAATGCAATATTGACAGCCCTCCGACTTTCTGGGGCATCAGGGTTAGGCCCTTGGACTGTCTCTGTCATCTTAGAGAGGTTTGTGGGTCTCCAAGCAGCAGCTCGGATGCCCCCAATAGAGTCTGGCAATACCGATCGAGAGCCTCCTTTCCCCTCTCACTATAGGGGTTCTTATATGTCATAGGATCTTACAAGGTCTGTAATTCCTGTAACAGAGGGCTAGTATTCACCCCTTTATTAACCCCCTCTGTTCTAGACAGGTCTTCCCCAGTTTCCTACAGTTGAGGTTTTGTGCCACCCCTGACATGGGCATGGTCGCACAGGCCTGTAAGACAGTATACAGGTTGCTAACTGTCAACTCTCTCTCAATAGAGACCAAAATTTAATGGGTATTCTTTGCCCGCCTGGGCAACTGCCCTCTCGGCAGCTAGACACCTTTTACCTTTTGGGTTCATCCTACATAGTCTTCTTTCAGGACAGTTTACATATAGGCTAATTCTTCTTTCTAGCCACAAATACAGTTTGTCCAATTTCCTTAAAATGTATTCTGGCACAGGAGAAAGTTGTTTTGCTGTGCATAGGTAGCTTAACCCCTATACAACTGGGCTCGGACCTCTGCCTAGCAAACTGCAGTCTATAAGTTCAATATGCAGCCTCCGGTCCTCCTAACCCAAAGAGGTTTCGGCTGGTCTCTGAGTCAGACTTCTCCTCTCTTGGAGAATTTCAAAGTCCTGATGGCTCCCAGGTTTAGGGAGAGTGCTCTTTTCTTAACTCTGTTTATTAGTTACAGGGCCCTGCTTTCCTTGTCTTCCCACCAGTCCCCTTTATGGCAGAGCAGCGACCAGGCCTCTTCCAAGGGAGTGCACTAGAAGGGGCTATCAGCCCCTCTTCTTCCAGCAGCAACAGGCACTAAACCCTTTCAGTACATTTGCAAGCAGGGAGCTTTTACTAGCTCTATCTGCAGTTTTCATAGATCTCAGGCTTGCTACTCTATTTCTTGGGCTGTAGGAAGGCTAGTACCAATCACTGGCTTATGTCTTAACTGCTGTAGCCTGCAAGCCAAAGGCCCAAGTACTTTCTCGCTGCTGCTGCTGCTGCTTCTCTTTTTTTAGGGCCACTGCAGGCAGCTCAGGCATCCAGCCCCCCTTCTTTGATCATTCATTCCCCAATCTGGTCTGGAGCTGGGGAATAGCACCTCCATCCACCTTGCATCTCCAGAGGGCTGCTTGTCTGGCCCCAGATCTATATAGGGCCGGCCTGCCATAGTGGCAACATAGGAACTGCAGGACTGGCGGATGTCGCAAGGTCCTGAAGGTTCTCCCCTCTCTCTCTCTGTCAAGAGCTGGTGGCGTGGCCTGGGCCTGAGTCCAGGGCTCACCCAGATCCGGCGCCTGGGGACCATAGAGGGCAGCCGGCTAATGGGTTCTTCCTGCTCTCCCTGAAGGACCGGGGGAGCCTTTCCCTTCTGGGGCCCAGCCAAAAGAATTGTCTGTCTCTGTCCCAATTTTCTCCTCGGGAGGAAAGCCCTCATCCACCGGGGTTTCTTGGACAATATGTCAACCCAAACCTGAATATAAGGAATTTGATTAGGGTGCCCTGGGCGGCCGTATATGACATAATGGACCCGGTAGGCAATGGTCAGATCAAAAGACCCTGCATCCGGCCACCCCTCCTGGAAAGTGGGCCACTCCTGTTCACAGAATCGCTGTAAATCAAAAGCATTAACATTATAATTTTTAAATCTACCCCAGAACTTCAGTTTAATACAGTAAATTACAACCTAGGTAAGACCAACTGATAGACAGAAATCTTTATTAACTAAGTAGGCTGATTCCCCTTTAACAGTGAGCAAAAGACTCTGAGAAAAAATAATTCTCGCAGCTGCAAGAGGCTTTGAAGACTATTAAAGGGGCCAGCCCAAACGTTCAGCCAAGAGTATCAACAGAAAGCAGAATAAATCAAAGTAGCTTTTACTTTACACAGACCAGTAATGATTTACACTTTCTTAGTAGACCAGCCCAGGGTGGAGCTGTATCTAGTCCTTCTTCTCTGTAGTAATTTGGCTAGTCCCACACAAACAAACTTTGTCCCGACCCCATGATGATCGGTGGCGAGAGACAGACAAGGGAGGGGGTGACCTGTTTTCACAGATCCTCACGCAGATGCCCGCCTGGCCACGTCCCTTGGGAGCTTAGATCCGTCGTAGCTAAGGTGCACCCGTATAAACCCTGGGCCTGGTCACCTCCACATGGGGGTGAGTCACCGTTATGCCATATGACAAATCTCGGAACCGCAGGTTGGGGCCCACCCGGACTCCGTAACCGAAGTCGTGGAGCCACACAAAGGAGAGGAGAGGGCAGGCCCCCTCCCTCCACACTCACACACTTTCACCAGACATTCACTCAGAGTTTAAACAATCCACCCAATTCCTAACAATTTCCCAATTCCTGAGGGAGCTCTATGGCTTCCCGGGAGGTGATCAAGCTCCCCTTCCACTCACCCGGAGTGGGCCTGACTGATAGGGGGTCGACGAAGATGACTGACCCTATCCCATTTGACAAAGACAAAGACAACAAAGAACAAAGACAAAATAAATCAGCCAAATGCAACCCAAGGTTGCCCGGAACCTGCAGCTCGCTCCTTGAAGTCCTGAAATTTTTCAAAACACATTGCAGCAGGGTGTACACAGAAGCAGACAACTTTTTGACAATAAACACCAAGACAAACAAATACCAGACAGACAAACCCAGTGCAGCCTACAGCCACACGAACCAGGGACCCCGGCCACCGTCGTGGCCGCGGGTCAGGACCAGGAGTACCGCTGCGTCCAGCCCTCCGTATAGGTCCTTCCGTGGGACGTCCCAATTCCTGTTTAACGACCAGTCTCTTACCTCTCTCGAGAGCCCAGGTGGCTCGGTTTCCAAATTGAAAGTTTTGGGTGGACTGGAGGCCTCCTTGGTAGTCGTTGTCCACAGGTGTGGGGTATCTCGCTGAGTGCCCGGCGACAAGTGGGGGAGAGCCTCCTGCCTTGAATAGGGGGTCCCTCTCCTCCCTGCCGCGGGAGAGCCTCCTGCCCTAAACAAGGGGTCCCTCTCCTCCCTGCCGGGTATCTCGCTGCGGGCCTCCAAATGTTATGGGTTGGCTCAACGAGATAGACCACTGACTCAGAATTTAAATTTAAGAGCCTTTTATTAAGCTGGCCAGCTGACCACAGCGCCTATCTCCCCCTCTGGGAGATTCGGAGCATGTGGCAGAGATCAAGGGTGCAGTATGATCCTTTATAGCACAACAGTGTTACCTTAGAAGTTCATAGAAAGTTCATAAGCACAAAGGGGGGGTAAACAGAGTCACACCTGGCTGGAGCATATCATAACACATTGTTTTTCTAAGACAATTTAGCAATTTTTCTTCCATGGTTCCTAACCCTGACACAATCCTCCATACGTCAGTCCCCCCTCCCAGCACATTCTGTAACATTCTGTAACCCTTCCATGCCACAGTCCCTCACCCTAGCACACACATCACTGATCATGAAGACAATGCAAATAAAGTAAAAACCACAACAAGACATCACCTCACACAGGCAGTGAGCATGCGACATGGATAATAACTGTTTCACCCTGTGTGACTCCCAAGGTTATCTGGGCGCCTGCCTATGTGTGAGGCCGCACAGAGATGGTGACACCAAAATCTTGGAAAGTTCCTGAACAGCACAGCGCCTGGGCCAGGCCTCGGGGACAGTGTGACGGGCGCCCCGCGCAGGAGGAGGGTCAGGACCGAGTTCCAGGGCCCAGGCCTGCGCTCAGGGCTCGGCAGGGGACAGAGTCTGGGGTGCAGCTCCCTGTGGGGGACTCCCCAGCGCCTGGGTTTCACCTCTCCTCTCCCAACCTGTGTCGGCGCCTCCATCCTGGAGACTCGTGACGCGGCCACACTTCTCACTCCCATTGGCTGAGCGGTTTCCAGAGCAGCCAATCAGCGTCCCCGCGACCCCGGTTATAACTCCTCCGCGGAAGCGCCGGGACTCAGATGGTACCCCCGACGCCAAGGATGCGGGTCCTGATGCCCCCCACCCTCCTGCTGGTGCTCTCGGGGGCGCTGGTCCTGACCCCCAGCTGGGTCGGTGAGTGCGGGGTCGGAGGGGGCGGCTGTGCGGGAGGAGCGAGGGGACCCGGCGGGGGCGCGGGACCCGGAAGGCGCGTGTCCAGCCCCGGCCCTGCCCCCCGTCCGCCCCCCAGGCCCCCACTCCCAGACGTACTTCTACACCATCGTGTCCCGGCCCGGCCGCGGGGAGCCCCGCTTCCTCGCCGTCGGCTACGTGGACGACACGCAGTTCGTGGGGTTCGACAGCGACGCGGCGAGTCCGAGGGCGGAGCCGCGGGCGCCGTGGATGCAGCAGCCGTGGGTGCAGCGGGAGAGGCCGGGGTATTGGGAGGAGCTGACGCAGAACTTCGAGGCAGCCGCCCAGATTTTCCGAGTGAGCCTGCAGACCCTGCGCGGCTACTACAACCAGAGCGAGGACGGTGAGCCGCGCGCCGGGCCCGTCACCACCCCCCTCCCCACGGACGGGCCGGGGTCGCCCGAGGGTCCGGGTCGGAGCGTCACCCCGAGGCGGCGGGACCCGCCCGGCCCCCACCCGGGAGGAGCCCGCGGGGACTTGGTCCCGGTTTCACTTTGAGTTTTAGATTCAGTCCCCGCGGGGCGGGCGGGGCGGGGCTGACCTCCGGGCGGGGCTGACCGCGGGGCGGGGTCAGGGTCTCACACCCTCCAGTGGATGTTTGGCTGCGAAGTGGGACCAGATGGGCGCCTCCTCCGCGGGTACGAGCAGTGGGCCTACGATGGCGCCGACTACATCGCCCTGAACGAGGACCTGACTTCCTGGATCGCGACCGACATGGCAGCTCAGATCACCAAGCGCAAGTGGGAGGCGGAGGGTTGGGCAGAGCGTCACAGGAGCTACCTGGAGGGCCGGTGTGTGGAGTCGCTGCTAATGTACCTGGACAAAGGGAAGGAGACCCTGCAGCGCGCAGGTACCAGGGGCCTGGGGCTGGGGCTCCTACAAGGAGACAGGACAGGGGGTCAGTGTCAGACACCCCTCCTTGGGTCAGGGAGGGAGCCCCCTGGATGTCCAGCTCAGGTACCAGAGGGACTCTCCCTCTCAGCGACAGTTAGGGGTGCTGGCTCTCCTGGGGTGCAGGGAGACCCGCCGAAATAGCCCAGCAGCTGTACCCATGCGCCCTGCAGGGGCTCTGGGACCCACGGGGACCTTCTCTCTCAGGTCTTGTGCACTGCCCACACCCACTGTGTCTGAGGCCTGACCCCAGCTTTTCTGAGGCACGTGGCCTCCACTCAGGTCCGGACCACAAATCCCTTTTCTCCCCTCAGAGACCTGCCTCCTGCCCGTGGCTGCATCACTTTGATTCTAGAACTTTCTAAAGACTACGCGGTCCTTCCAGGAGCCTCTGTGCAGGCTGGTGGGTGGGCTGTGTGCTCCCTCCCCCACCCAGGTGTGCTGTCCACTCTCAGGATGGTCACATGGGCGCTGCTGGAGTGTCCCACGGCAGATGCAAAGTTCCTGCATTTTCTCCCCTCCCCTCAGACCCTCCAAAGGCTCACGTGACCCACCACCGCGTCTCTGAGCGGGAGGTCACCCTGAGGTGCTGGGCGCTGGGCTTCTACCCTGCGGACATCAGCCTGACCTGGCAGCGTGACAGGGAGGACCAGACCCAGGACATGGAGCTGGTGGAGACCAGGCCTGCGGGGGACGGCACCTTCCAGAAGTGGGCGGCCGTGGGAGTGCCCCCTGGAGAGGAGCAGAGATACACATGTCATGTGCAGCACGAGGGGCTGCCCGAGCCCCTGACCCTGAGATGGGGTGAGGAGGGGCCGTGGGCACAGAGCCTCTTCTCAGGGCAGCAGGGACCCTGGGGGACCTCAGTACGGTCGGGACTGAGGCCTGGGCTCAGGGCCCTGACCCTCCCTTCCCTTCTCCTCCCAGAGCCGCCTTCTCACACCTTCTTCATCATCATCATCATCATCATCATCATCATCGGCATCGCCGGGGTCCTGGTTCTGCAGAGACGGGCAGCTGTGATGTGGTAGAGGAGGTGCTCACGTGGACAGGTGTGGGGTCTAAGTGTCTTGTCCCACTGGGGGTTCAAGCCCAGGTAGACGTGTGTCCCGCCTCATTCATTGGAAGCACTATCCCCACGGAGTGATGGCCAGTGTGGGGCTCTGTGCTCACACTTACTCTTTAGTGAGGCCCGTGGGAGCTAGTGTTGGGGACCCCGTTCCCAGCAGCCCCAGGTCAGAGGGCAGGTCCTTGCTGAGCACAGACTTCCAGGAGGGCGGTGGGTCCAGTCCCCACCCATGCTTTTCCCTCAGGTTTCCTGATCCTGCCCTGGGTCTACAGGGTTCTGGAAACTTCTCTGGGGCCCAGGGCTCAGGCTTCCTTTAGGACCTCATGGCCCTGCCTCCTCCCTGGTCTCTCACGGGATGTTTTCTTCCCGCAGGTGGGAAAGGAGGGAGCTACGCTCAGGCTGCCAGTGAGTATGGGGGTGACCCTGAGACCCTGTGACAGTGCAGACGGGAGCCATGCCTCACCCCCCCGCCCCCCGTAATTCCTCCTAGTCTCCTGCCCTGGACCTCTGACCTCGTCCTGGTGTGTGTCCCTCAGGCAGTGACAGTGCCCAGGGCTCTGATGTGTCTTTCTAGAGGTGAGACCCTGCCGTGGGGAGGGGTGGGCAGAGGGGAGGACTGGGTGGTGGGGAGTCTGAGGGACACTGTGAGCATGAAGTGGACTCTGAGAATGTCACCAGTGACAGCCACTGACCTGAATGTGCTCATGATGCTTGTCCTCCACAGCGTGAGGGGCCTGCCTTGTTGGGGACCGAGTGATGGAAGATGTTCACGCTCCCACCTCCTGACTCAGGAACCTCTGATTGGGGGGCTGACCAGCCCTGCTCCCCACGCTTTCCTGTCAGCAGAGGCGAGGCTGGGCCCTCCCGATCCCTGCCTTTACTCCCTGGGGCTGTGAGCTGCAACTTCCTGCTCCATATTGAAATGAGACTCTGGATTGACCTGGGGTTTTTTTCTGGTTTTTTTTTTTTTAATATTTCTATTGATTTCAGAGAGGGAGGGAGAGGGAGAGAGAGATAGAAACATCAATGATGAGAGAGACTCATTGATCGGTTGCCTCCACGCCCCCACTGGGGATCAAGCCTGCCACCCAGGCACGTGCCCTGACTGGGAATCGAACCCAGGACCTCTTGGTCCATGGGGCGACGCTCAACCCACTGAGCAACCACAGCCAGGCTGATCTGGTTTTTTAGTTCTTGCCATGACTGGTAGAACTACCATATGACCCAGCAAGTCCACTTTTGAGTATATACTTGAAAGAAATTAAATTTTATCTTGAAGAGCTATTTACAGCCTCATGTTCATTGCAGTATTATTTACAAGGAGAGGCCTGGTGTACGAAATTTGTGCACTTGGGGGGCGGGGTCCCTCAGCCCTGCGCCCTTTCACAGTCTGGGAGCCCTTGGGGGATATCTGACTAATGGCTTAGGCCCGCTCCCCCTGGGCCTAAGCCAGCAGTCTGACATCCCTAGCGCTGCTGTGGAGGTGGGAGAGGGTACTCGAACCACCTCTGTGCTTGCCAGTTGTGAGGCCGACTTCTGACTTAGCGGTGCTCCCCCTGTGGGAGCACACTGACCACCAGAGGGCAGCCCCTGCATTGAGCGTCTGCCCCCTGGTGGCCAGTGCCTGTCATCGGTTCTGCTGTTTGGTTGATTTGCATATTAGCTTTTTATTATATAGGATGGCCAATACATGGAAACAGCCTAAGTAATGAGGACTATAGTAGACTCAAAAATACGAATTGTAGACATGAAATTTGCTAAGAGAAACCCTCACACTTTGAATCAGCATGGATGGACCTGGAGAGTATTATGCTAAATGAACCAAGCCAGGCACAGAAACACAAATCCCATATGATGTCACTTATGTAAATGAACTGAATAAACTGATAAAATACAAACAGGTATGGATACATGGAGCAGACTGACAGATCTCAGAGGGGAAGGAAGAGGGGGAACTGGAGAAAGAAGGTGAAGAGATTGGCCAAAGGATATACACCCATTATAGCCCATGGTCATAGCCCACAGTGTGGTGATGGCCAGAGGGGATGGGGCTGGAGGCTGGAAGGAGGTGGGTAACGGTAGGGAAAATGGGGGCATCGGTAATAGTGTCAATAATAATAATGAAGTAAAAAAAATTGCTAAGAGTAGATCTTAAAAGTTCTCACAGCCACACCAGTGGTGACTAGTGATGGGATGGATATGTTAACTACTCATATCATGGTCATCAATTCACAATATACTCATATATCAAGTCATTACACAATGTTCAATATGTCCCTGACACCTGATAAATCGGGAGGGGAAATAATA